ATATTTATAGTATCTCTAAACAGCTAAACAGATGGAACCACATAATTATCTTCTAAGAATGCAGTAGCCTCTGCTGAGAAAAAACAAGTCTTGTCCTAGAGTTGGACATAAGCATGTACAATTGGTACATACAAATGAGACAGTACCAATTTCCCTTGGAAAACATTCTTCACTTTACAAAGAACTCACTTTTGGATTCCTCTAAATGACATATTGCAGTATACTTAAACAAGTCTTTCCATAATTATCTTACCTTGATTTGCATTATATAACTTTTAGGGAAACGTCTGTTGTATAAAATCAATAATACCTGTATTTTACACCTTTCCATTTGATTCACTGTAACGGCATGATTTGTTTGCTTATTTGGATGACAGGTTCACTATGAAGTAGTAAATAGAGCAATATATGAGAACAACATAACTCTCCTTAGTGGCTGCTTTTATTTTTATTTATTTATTTATTTATTGAGACAGAGTTTTGCTTTGTTGTCCAGGCTGGAGTGCAGTGGCACTTTCTCAGCTCACTGCAACCTCCACCTCCCAGTTCAAGCAATTCTTGTGCCTAAGCCTCCTGAGTAGCTGGGATTACAGGCGCCCACCATCACACTCAGCTGATTTTTTGTATTTTAGTAGAGATGGGGTTTCATCATGTTGTCCAGGCTTGTCTTGAACTTCTGAGCCCAGGCAGTCTGACTGTCCTGGCCTCCCAAAGTAGGATTACAGGCTTGAGCCACTGTGGCCGGCCAGTGGGCTGCTTTTGTAACTAGATTAATATATAGTTGACTAACAGTCAAAGGAAATTTTATAGGTATGTGTTTTCTTTTTTCTTTTTGAGAAGGGTCTCTCTCTTTCACCCAGGTTGGAATGCAGTGGTGCAAAAGATAGCTCTCTGCATAGCTCCCCACTCCTGGCCAGGAACTATAGTAATGTTAGTTTAGAGCCTCTAGTTACAGATTTTCACCTTTGATATCCGCGGTAACAGGGAGGTTACTATACCTACCTATGCTCTGATTGTCAAACATGCATGAAATTTTTTAAAGTGAGGCTCTTTCTTCTTGACCAAGCCAATCAAGACATACAAGTATGTAATTTTTAAAAAAGTTGATGAATCATATAAAATTGTTTTTGCAGGTAGAAAATCATCAAATATAGACAGTTTTAACTTAATACATAAAAATCTCTTATAGTAGTTTTGTTTATAAAATGTCTTTTATTATATAAACCTGAGTTGAGACTTATGGTTTATAAGGGTCATTGTTATTAGAGAGAGGTCTCTGCATCTATAATGAGGTTTTTTACTAGTTGGAAGATACTTTATTATATAATTTGTTATATTATATAGTACATAACCTGTAAGTCTCTTTTGGAGATTGCCCTGATAAAATGGGAGAGAAATTGTCATTCATTTGCTTTGGTAGTGGTTGAAGAAAAGATCTAAAGTTGTGGTTTGTGAACTATACACCATGGCGTCCTAGGACCCCATGAAGAAATCCCAGAGGCCTCATGGAAAACTGTTTCCAAAGCAAACACAATACTGCCTATATTAGCTGGACACCACATGAAGGAGTTTGAGACAGTTTACAGTTTCAACAGTGCACTCCATTCCTTTCAATGACATCATATCTTTGTGAAGTTAGCTTTTTAGCAATTGCTTTGATAACCAGCAAGTAGTGTGTGAAAATCAGGTTGGAACAGGGAATAAAGATCGGAGGTGTCTGAACTGATTCCAAGGTTTGAAGTGATACAATGCCCAGGCACATATCCATTAGTAAGTAATTAACTGTGGTTATTTAAAAATGAAATTAAATATTTTTTTATTTTACATTATATGTATTATTTTTTAAAACAACTAAAGATGTTTGGACGTAATTACTAGGTTGTTTGGTCCTGACTACTTTCTAAACAGAATGGTTATATATTTGTTGGGCTGGGGGTGTCATATAAAAAGGGCTGAGATACTAAGGTATATTAGCACTGCCAACTAAGAAATTGTAGGAACTTCTGGTTTAAAGTAATTAGAATACCCAAACAGTTCACATAGGTGACCAAGTAATTGATATCAAGTGGAAAGGTACATTTAATTTAAATTTCTCATGGATACAGTTTTTAGAGTTGCCACCCCATTCTACTTGTTTAATATTATGTGACAAACGTCTGTACAGTAATTGCCCCTTACCCAGGGGAATATGTTCCATAAACCCCAGTAGATGCCTGAAATCACAGATGGTACTGAATTCTTTATATACTATGTATTTTTCCTATACATACATATCTATGATAAAGTTAAATTTATAAATTAGATGCAGTAAGAGATTAACAACAATAACAGCTTTCAGTCCCACCTCCTGACCTCTAGGGAAAGGAGAGGGGCTGAGGTTGAGCTGATCACAAATGGCTGATGATTTAATCAATCATGCCTGTGTAATGAAGCCTCCCTAAAACCCAGAAGGACAAGGTTCTGGAAAGCTGAATACGTGAAGGTGCTTGAAAGGTGGTGTGCTGGAGAGAGTACTGAAGCTCTGTACTCCTTCCCACATGCCTGGCCCTATGCATCTCTTTATCTGGCGATTCATCTCTAACCTTTGTAATATCCTTTATTAATAAACTAGTGAATGTAAGTAAAGTATTTCCCTGAGTTCTGTAAGCCACTCTAGCAAATTAGTGAAATCCAAGGAGTGGGTCAGGGGGGCCTCCAATTTATAGCCAGCCAGTCAGAGGCATAGGTGACAGCCTACTGCATACTTGCCATTGGCATCTGAAGTGGCGAACAGTCATGTAGAACTGAGCCCTCAGCTTGTGGGACTTGACACTATCTCCAGGTAGATGGTGTCAGAATTGAATTATAGAACACTCAGCTGGTGTCCACTGAAGAGTTGCTTGGTGTCAGAAGTTTTGTGTTGAATGAGAGTAGAGAATAGTTTGCTTTTTCTAATCACAGTTTGATTCTTCCTGTGTCTCTCAAAGCTGTATTAAATCTTTCCTTGAGTAGAAGACTTCTCCTGAGACGTGCCTCTGTAAGTGTGGGTGGAGCAGGAAGTATGTGCAGCATGGAAAAGCCCCACAGAGCTTCTTCCACTGGAAGATTAAGCTCTAACTAAGAAATTAGGCAGGAAAAGGTGAATGGAGTTAAGGTGAGAACAGATGAACTATATGCCATGGCATTCTAGGACTCTCTTCAGAAAGACCAAACTGGGCTGAACTCAGCTGCACGTACCTGCAGTCCTAGCACTTTGTGAGATGGGAGGATTGCTTGAGCTTAGGAGTTCAAGACTGGCCTGGGCAATATGGTGAAATCCTATCTCTACAAAAATTACAAAAACTAGTAGGGCTCATTGACTCACACCTGTAGTCTTAGCAACTTGGGAGACTGGGGCAGGAGGATCACTTGAGTCCAGGAGTTTGAGACCGCAGTGAGATATGATCACACCACTGCACTCTAGCTGGGCTACAGAGCAAGACCCTGTCTCTTAATACATTCTGGCATGTCCTTTTTTTTTTTTTTTTAAGTAAATTACCTTATCCAAATGGAGGGAGTCTGCTATAACTAGAATTTGATGATATAGCATGAGTGGGCAGAGGGGAAAATGGGAGATGATAGAAATGAATGTGCCAGAGATATATTTTGCCCAGAATCCTGGCCACAGACAGTATGCTAATGCCTGATTTAAGAACAGATTTAGCTGAAAACACTGCAAATCTCAGTATGAATACCCCTTATACAGCCTACACCATCCCTAGCCAGTCTCTGTTCCTCTCCCAAGGAGAGGAAGAAGTTTGCATCCTACCACATAATTCTTCCTCTTTGTAATCAGTTTAAAATTCTTAGAATCCCTCATGTGGATATCTGTAGGAGTGCCTAGGTCTGTTCTGCTTGAAAAATGTGCTTTCCTCCCGTATTCATTCTTCTGGCCTAATGATTTCAGTCTTCTGAAACATAATTGTCCTTATCTTTTTTTTTTTTCTGTAGTTCTGTATTCCAGTCCTTTAATCTTTTTGTTTTTTTTTCTAAATTAGGGATGAGAAACTCACATGCTTACAGATAATGTAAACAACGCTAATAAGGAGTATAATGAGCTGGAAAGTGCCCAGCTAAAGGGGACAACTATTTCTTAGTTCTGGTGAATTGTTGCCACGGGGGCATATAGATTGCTTGTTACCAGATCTTGAGATGTATTTCAAGAGAAGCTGGAAATCTGAGAAAGTAGTGTACAGCTTCTCAATGTTTACATATTAGTATTTAGTTCTGATTTTTAAAACATAGCTAGGTGTTACTCCTGTGCCATAACTTTGCAACCTCTACTTTAGATCTTATGTAAGTTTGAAGCTCAAAATCCAGCCCAGTATTATTTGATAAAAGCCATATCTCTTTGTATCCTGTCAGTTATGCTTCATTTCTTTCTCAGAATTGCTTTCTGGTCAGTTGAAATTCTTTGACTATGTTCCTTGAAAAATTGTCCATCATATCTGAAGGGAAGCAGTTGAGGAAAAGAAGTATTTTGATCTGAGTATGTTTAATGCTTTTCCCTCCATGAAAAGGCATTCACAAAGAGGCCTCAAACTAATGACTAAGAAAGTCTGCCCTCTCAAAGACTGACTGTGCAGGATAGAGACTGCACAGGCCTCTGCAGCATTTGGGGCCTCAAAGATTTTGTTAAAAAGCAAATGCTGTAACTTATACCGTGGTGATTAGAATTCTTTAGAACCAAGTCTTAAAAGTCCTCAGTTACACTTTAAACATAATATAATATGACATGATACTCTGCTTGAGTATTCGTGAATTATGCTGTTATAAGTTGCTGGGAAGTTGGCAGGAAGGAAGAAGTAACCATTTAGGGAAAGTACTTACTGGTGAATTCATTATCATGTTAGAGAATAGGAATTTTGCTTTCTGGGTTCTAGATGGCTTCAGTTTACAAAAAGAGGTCTAAAGTGTTTCTTATTACTCTCTTTCTCTCTCCCCTTTCTCCTCTACCCCTCTTTTTTTTTTTTTTTTTTTAGGTTTTCAAAACAAAAATAGAGTTGCAATCTTGGCAGAACTGGACAAAGAGAAAAGAAAACTACTTATGCAGAACCAGTCTTCAACAAATCATCCTGGAGCTAGGTATTAACACTATTATGTGGTTTTTTGTTTTTTGTTTTTTTGAGATAGAGTCTCGCTCTGTCTCCAGGCTGGAATGCAGTGGCGTGAGCTCAGCTCACTGCAACCTCAACCTCTGCCTCCTGGGTTCAAGTGATTCTTCTGCCTCAGCCTCCCAAGTAGCTGTAACTAGAGGTACACACCACCACACCACACCTGGCTAATTTTTGTAGAGACGGGGTTTTACCATATTGGCCAGGCTGGTCTCAAACTCCTGACCTCGTGATCCACCCACCTTAGCCTACCAAAGTGCTGGGATTAGAGGTGTGAGCTACCACGCCTGGCCTATACTATGGTTTTTAGATTTAGTTATATAAAAATTTCTTGGACCAAATAACTCAATGGCTGACAATGATTTTTTCCTTTAACATTGTAATCTCTACATTGTGTTTTATTTCTATAGGGGAGACTGAACTTTACCTGTGCACAACTTAGTTCTCATTGGGAGGCACCTCTGTACCAAAAGATAGATTAACAAGAGAAAAACAAATTTATGAATGCATGCAGCACACATCACAAGGGAGAAACCTTAATGAAAAGTAACTCAAATTGTGGCTTAGAACTCTGCTTATATAGCATCTTCAACAAAGAATATAATAAATTCGTAGAGAAATGTGGCACAAACGAAAGGGATTTTAGGCTTCCGGGGTGGGAAACTGAGAAGGTAAATATATGGAGAAAAGTAAGGCTTGTTGGCAGAGTCCTCTGCTGCTGTCCCTAGGCTAAGTGTCTAGAGCTGTCTCCAGTACAGGAGAAGCTATATCCTGTCTTCAGGCAGAAAGTGGGGAGGGGAGAGAGACCTTTTCTTCAGTTTGCTGCTGTTTTTTATTTTTATTTCTTAGCAACCCTATTAACTGAGCTGCTGCTTAACTGCTTTCAGCTCAAAAATAATTTTTATATCAAAGAAGTATATTTTAGGTGACATATTCTGGTTCCCTTTGTTTCCTAGTCAGACTTTTAACAATTAAACTATTTAGCTGATTAAATTGTAAACATTCTAACTAGAATATTTAATTTCCCTATAGCCTTCATAGCCTTCAGACTTTTTTTGTGGCGGGGTCTCACTCTGACACCTGCACACCTATGGAGTGCAGTGGCACAATCATAGCTCACTAACAGCCTCAGTCTCCTGGGCTCAGGTGATCCCTCCTGAATATCTCACACTACAAGCACACCCCACCACACCTGGCTAATGTTTTTTGTTTTTTAGTAGAGATAAGTGAGATCTTGTATTGCCCAGGCTGGTCTCAAACTCCTGGCCTCAAGTGATCCTCCTGCCTCAGCCTCCCAAAGTGCTGGGATTATGTTTAGCCACGGCACCTAGCCCTTATAGTCTTTTTTTTTTTTTAAGAGTTTTGTATGCTTTTTTATTACTGCGATTGCTGCTAGTGGCCCACTTTTTAATCATTCTGCAAAGTGGATAAAATTTAGGTGGCTTGATGATCTTTATTATAGGTATTCAGTCTCTGCCATATTTAGTAACTTCCCTCAGACCATTATCTCTGGGCACAGTGGCTCATGCCTGTAATCCTAGCACTTTGGGAGGCCAAGGTGGGGGATCACTTGAGCCCAGGAGTTCGAGAGCAGTCTGGGCAATGTTGCAAGACCCATCTCTACAAAACATACAAAAAATTAGCTAGGCATGGTGGTGCATGCCTGTGGAGGATCACCTGAGCCCAGGAGTTTGGGGCTGCAGTGAGCTGTGATTGTATCACTGCACTCCAACCTGGATGATAGAGTAAGACCTGTCTCAAAAAAAAAAAGATCCATTATCTCATTCAGCTCCCACCCTGTTGTTTTTCTCTTAAAGCAACTGCCTATGCTCATCTTTACTTTGTCACTTATTCATGCCTCAACCCACTGCAGTCTGGCTTCCAGGCCCTCCATCAAAGGAAATGTTATTGCCTAGGTCACTTGTAACTTTCCTGGGCTAAATCTAGCAGACCAGAGTCTCTTTCTTATCAGACATCTTAGCATTTTTTGACACCACTGAATACTCTCTCCTTCTTAAAGTACTCTCAGTCCTTGGTTTCCATTTGCTCACTCTAAGAAAATAAAAAACAATAGGAGGAGACTACCTTGATTTCTTTTGCAGACATTTCTCCATTTGTCCCTTGAATGCTGACAGCCCTTTGGATTCTATTCCAGACAGGCTTCCCAGTCTGCCTCCTTTACTGGGCAGTTGCATCTTTTCCCATGAGCAGTTATTTATGTGCTAATCCCTTCCGCATTTGCAGCTCTAGTCTGTCCTTTCTTCTAAGCACCACCTCTGCCTCCTGGACATCTCTACTTTGATGTCCACGGATATTTTAAATGTAGTATGTCCCAAACTAAACTCATTCTCCCTTCCCACTCTCCAACAACTACTGAATATTCTTGTGTATCCTGTCTTAGTAAATGGTTCAGGCTACAGTGTAGTAGTTACAAGTCAGAAATGTGAGCTTCAATTGTTTACCATTCCCTTTCATTTTGATCTGCAAGCATTTATCATTCATTCTCTTGTGTTTATACTTTGAATAGTGTCTCGTATCTGTCCATTTTCTTCATTGCTACTGATGCTGTCCTGATTTCTGGCCACTCTCATTTCTTGCCTCAATTATTATAACTGCTTCAAATTTCCTGTGGTCTTATGCTTCTTGAATACATTCATCAGTTGTGTCATTTAGGAAGCTTTAATCGGGAAGTAACAGAAATGTAATGAAATTGGCGTAAACATTAGGGTGTCTGTTAACCAGGAGTGTGAAGATAAGGTAGTTCCAGAGTGGCTTAATTCAGTGGCCACAATATCATTAGAGATACAGCTTCATTCGTCTTTCTTTTCTGTCTTACCCCATGGGTCAGTGGCTCCCTCAGGTCAGAATATGACTGCAGTGGCTTAGGCATCACCCGGCACTGAGCCACCTGTAGAGGCAAAAGCCTGAAAAGTTCCTGTGATATGTCCCATTTGTAAGAGTGAGGAAGACACTCTCAGAAGCCTTTCTGTAGACACCCATCAAGTCTGGTTGCCCAGATTATGTACCTTTCTCTTCCCTCAACCAGAAATCAGCTAGGGGAATGACACTGTCTTATACCAATCGAGGTCTATCACCTGGGGCATGAGCCTGGCCTGCCCTGAAGCACGTGACCACTGATAATTGAACCAATTATCTTCAAGGAAGAAAGGAGATAAACAGTTGTTGAGGAGGTGACCAACACTGTCTGCCACAGTAGTGGTCTTTCTGAGCTCCAGGGTGATAGTTCTTTTTTTTGAGACAGGGTCTTACTCTGTCACTCAGGCTTGTACAGTGGCACAATCTCCTGACCTTCTGGGCTTAAGCAATCCTCCCATCTCAGCCTCCCGAGTGGCTGGAATCGCAGGCACATGCCGCCACACCTGGTTAATTTTATTTTTTAGAGACGGGGTGTCATTATATTGCCCAGGCTGATCTTGAACCCCTGGGCTCAAATGATCCTCCTGCCTTGGACTCCCAAAATGCTGGGATTACAGGCAGGCATGAGCCACCACACCTGGCCAAAAGGGTGATACTTCTGATCATGTCACTCCCCTACCACTTAACACTGGAGGTCTCCTATTACTATTAGGATAAGGTCTACATTTTATAACATTTTTCAGACCACCATCCTTCCAGATAATATATATTAAGTGTCCTTATTAATTCTCCTGTTACTAACATACATCACACCTCATCAGGATTGCTGTTATCTGTGAGCCTTGTCTTATATATACCCCTAGTGTTTAGTACAGAGCTATGCATCTAGTAGCTGCTTTAGAATCTGGTTCAAGTGTCTCTAAGTTTGATTATTTATCCATAATAGTTCTACCTATGTGGAACGTGGTTATGATAATTTAAGTGTTATTATTATTGTTATTATTTTTGAGACAGAGTCTTGCTCTGTCACTAGTCTGGAGTGCAGTGGCATGATCTTGGCTCACTGCAACCTCCATCTCCTGGGTTCAAGCAATTCTGCCTCAGCCTCCCAAGAAGTTGGGACTACAGGCGTGCACCACCATGCCTGGCTAATTTTTGTATTTTTAGTAGAGACAGGATTTCACCATGTTGGCTGGTCACAAACAAGTTTAATTATTATACAAACAAAAAAGTATGGTTTTATCGTTGATGAATATCATGTGATTTAACTGTTTTTTAAAATAATGTTAATAGAGATCATGATAGATCATGGTATCTCAAATCTGTTTGAATGTAGGAAACCATAAATTATACATTTTAGGCTGGGCATGATGGCTCATGCCTGTAATCCCAGCACTTTGGGAGGCCTAGGTGGGCGGATCACTTGAGGTCAGGAGTTCGAGACCAGCCTGGCCAACATGGTGAAACCCCATCTCTACTAAAAATACAAAAATCAAATACAGCTGGGTGTGGTTGTGCACACCCATAATCCCAGCTGCTCAGGAGGCTGAGGCATGAGAACCACTTAAACTCAGAGGCAAAGGTTGCAGTGAGCTGAGATCACACCACTGCACTCCAGCCTGGGTGACAGAGTGAGACTCTGTCTCCAAAAAAAGAAAGATAAATTTTTTTAAAAAGATCATTTAAAATCTCAATAAATAATATAGACTTTCTTTGTATAAATTAATGTAGATAGTGAGAGAAAAGGAAAAAAGATTTATTCTGGGAAGTCTTTTTTTCCCCTATAAAGAATATATAATGAAAAATTGTGATTCAGAAATAAGGACATCTCTTTAAGAGATTTGTTGTATAGCAAGTGACTATAATTGATGATACATACTTGAAAATTGCTAAGAAAATAGATCTTAAATGTTCCACAACCAAAGTATGTGGGGTGATGGATATGTTAATTAGCTTGATTTAACCATTTCACAGCATATACAAATATTAAAACATCACATTGTACACTGGAAATAGATGCAGTTTTTGCCAAGGATACCTCAATTTAAAGAAAGAAGATAATTTACTACTATCAAAAAAAAAGTAAGGATGTTTCTGCCTTAAGCAGCCAAGTAACCAAGATTCCCATTTTAGCATTGCACTCTCGAGACCATCCCTTAATAAGGACTTCCGGGATCACGCTGAGCAACAGCATATTGCAGCGCAACAGAAAGCAGCTTTGCAGGTGAGCAAAGTATACTGACATTCTTGCCTCAGTGGAGATTTCCTGGTTCTTAGAAGCCAGCACATAGTTATTGTCTATTTCAGTGGAGCAATATCAATAAAAATGTTCCACCCATAATTGCAATGGTTTGCTGATGTTCAGTCATGCCCAGAGGACTTGAAGGACCAGTGCAGCAGTAATGAAAGTATCTTTTATGGGGCTGACTTGGTCATGATTGATTCTGTGCAGTACATGCCAAGGGATTGCTTGTGCACAAAAGAGTTTAGGATATTTGGATGGACAGGAATGATCTTAAAAGTGGAACTGGCTAGTTTAATAGTATATGCATTTTTTTTCAAATCTATCATGTCATTACATCCTTTGATAGTTGTATTGGTTTATTGTTGTTGCTTGGAATTTTTTTTTAATGCTCAGTAGGAAATGTTTAAACGGTTTCCTACTGAGCATTAAAAAAAATGCATTAAAAAAAAACGGTTTCCTACTGAGCATAAAAAAAAAATGTTTAAACATTTCCTACACAATCCTAAACGGTTGTGTAGGAAATGTTTAAAAGCTCACTCTTACTATAGGACTAGGAGTGTGATGCTTCATCAGAAAGAGTTATAAGTAGTCTTAGTGTTACAGTCTCATCTTGAATATTTAAGATTTCCAGAGACTTTGGACAAGACTTTTTTTTTTTTCCATCAGTATAATTTAATCACTTATATTTTTAAAACTTAGAATCCCAGAATTGGAAGGAACATTATGAAGGCCATTTGACTTTATTTTATTTTATTTATCTATTTTTTAGAGACAGGGTCTCATACTCTGTCACCCAGGCTGGAGTGCAGTGGTGCCATCATAGCTTACTATAACCTCGAACTCCTGGGTTCAAGTGATCTTCTTGGCTCAGCCTCCCAAAGAGCTGAGACTACAGGCACGTGCCACTGTGCCTAGCTAATTTTTAATTCTTTAGAGTTGGGGTCTCACTGTGTTGCCCAGGCTGCTCTCAAATCCTGGCCTCAAGTGATCCTCCCACCTCAGTCACCCAAAGTGTTGGGATTACAGGTATGAGCCACCATTGCCCAGCCCTCCATTCACTTTAGATGACCTAAAAACAGTCTTTTTTTTTTTTAATGACAGAAGTTACTGGTGGTTTTCTGTTATTTACATTACAACATTCTCTACAAAATGTTGGTATTTTAATCACTAGTAATCTCACTGCCTCTTCCCCCCCTCTCCTTCTAACTACTAACCTTCTTTCTCAAGTTCCTGATTTGTTGACCAAGATCAGAGTATTTTGGGATCTCTGATACTTGTTTTCCTCACTTGAAGGAACAAAACAATTCATGTCTGACTCATTTATAGACTGAGGAGGGTCACAAGGTAGATAGAGAGGATGATAATTGAGCACCTGGTGTAATTTGTTAGTCCAGATTCTGTATGACTGTCCATTTCTTGTATATTTAAACACAACCAGCAGCATAAGAACTGATTTTAAATAAATTCCATCTCACCTATAACAATTAAAAATAAATGAATAAACAAATAAATTTGGTCTCAAGCATTCAGAAAGAATAAGTAATTTTAATGCCTTGGTGAAAAATTGTGACTCTATTTAATAGATTAATTGCCTTTTTTTAAAAAATCTTTTCAGCACGCTCATGCACATTCTTCTGGATACTTCATAACTCAAGACTCTGCATTTGGGAACCTTATTCTTCCTGTTTTACCTCGCCTTGACCCAGAATGAAGAAAATATTTGTGATGGAAAAATGACTTTGTAATAGCAAATGCCAAAGCTACTATCATTCAGTGCTAGATGAACTGTGACTTTCAGAATTTTGGTGAACTCTGATATTTTTTGTTTGTCTAAAAGAAAGGAATGTGGAAGTGAAAGCAGAGAAAGGATAACCAGATGATGAGAGCTGTGGAAGCTGTGGACACAAGGAATCGATTGTGTACCGTGACTGTAACTCTTTTTGTGATGCTGTTTAACTCTCAATCGGATTCTGAATTGGATGGTCACAAAATCAGTCCCCAACCCCTACCAAGTTTGACTGAATATATCATGTCCACAGTAGATTTTCAAGAATCATTTATAGTACTTAACTTTAAAGAAACAAGGTGCTTTTAAAAAATGAACCAATAGGCTTAAATCAGTTACATCCATATTTGCTCTTTATAGGATTGGTGTCAGTGCACCTTTCGAGTTTATAGTCAACATGTATCATCCTGAAATATTCTTTCTGAATCATAACTACATCCTCTCTCTCACTTTAAAGCAAACCCCAAGAATCAGTTACTAACCAGTCTTAACCATCTTTTATAAACATACGCCCTTATAAATGATGTGACTAAATGCAGTTAAAACTAATAGGAAATGTAGTGGTTTTTGTACATCCTTTTAACTTAGTGTCACCACATAAATGGTGAGTTTGCGTGGTCCTAGTGTCCATTTTTGTTCTAACTGAAAACGTAATGGCTGGGTGTGGTGGCTCATGCCTGTAATCCCAGCACTTTGGGAGGCCGAGGCAGGCAGATCACTGGAGGTCAGGAATTTGAGACCAGGCTGGCCAACATGGTGAAACCCTGTCTCTACTAAAAATACAAAAATTAGCCAGGTGTGGTAGTGCTCGCCTGTAATCCCAGCTACTTGGGAGGCTGAGGCAGGAGAATCACTTGAACCCAGGAGGCAGGGATTGCAGTGAGTCAAGATGGAGTCACTGCACTCCAGCCTGGGTGACAGTGAGACTTCATCTCAAAAAAAAAAGAAAAAAGAAAAGAAAAAAACTTATCATGCAAGTTGAGCTCCTTTTTTAATTACTTTAAGTAGGAAGGAGTTTAGGTTAAGAAAGTCTCTCAAAATGACCCATATTTAGCAGTATCTGGGGTGCTTATTTAAATATGCAGTCCCATTGCCCTACCCTAGTCCTACAGAATTAGAATCTGATTCAAAATAAAGTCTGAAAACCATGAAATAGAGAATTTTATGAAACATCTTGTACAAATTTTCATGATGTATTTATATAGGCATGGGTTTGTAGAACCCTGAAACTTAGAGGTCATTTAGCTAAAATCTACATTTCTTTTTAACTTTTAATAGGATTGAAATGATATTTTACACTGTATCATAGATAGACTATTTTATATAACTTTTTGTAACTGACTTCATCTTAGCCTCAAGTCCCATCCTCTCTGGTGGTAGGGTAAAAACTGAAAATTCCAGTTTGGGTCAATATTTAGTGAAAGTTCTACTTTCTTTTCAGAGAGTTTCTTCTCCCCCTTCTTCCTTAGATATTTTCACCAAACACAGCCCCATCCTACTCAAACCAAGGGAAGCAAGGGTGGACAATTCTAGAATTGGCTGTGCCATGTAGGTTTTTTTGAGAATTTGAACTGATTTCCTTCATTTTGATGAGGTGGCAACTGTCCCCATTGTAATGGTCACCATTACAGCGAGGACAGCCTTACTTTTGCAGCTGCAGAGCTCCTCAGGGGGCCTCTGGCTCCTGTCCTTCCTCAGGTCCATCCAGCTACTCCTTGGGCCTCCTTATGGTAGCCCTCACAGTCTTGAGGTAATTTCACTAGGCTTCTGCTCTCTGTGATCTACAACATAACTGACATGGTTCTAAATCTGTCTCTAGGGAAATAACAAATTAGTATATTTTCTACACTATTGAAGCCTCTACCTAATGTATGACTTTTGTAGCTCAGGTAAAGAGACCTTTTTACCAGTGGTATCCTTTCTAGTTTGTTAGCCTTTTAAATAGATGTGGTCTAAATCCTGGCTAGGAAGCACTTCTCCACCCCTCTGCTTTGAGTCACAAATTCAATTTCCTATGTATTTATTAATACCTACAGATAAAGCACTGTGCTTTGGGGGACACAAAGGTGACTGGCACCTGCTCTTTTAGGAGGTCACAGTGCAGAGGATCCTATTCTGGCATACCAGTAGTGTGTCCAAACCACAGCCTAGGCAACATAGCAAGACCCCTGTCTCTACTAAAAATTAAAAAAAAAATAAAGATTTGCTAAATGTGCTGGTGCATGTGTATAGCCCCAGCCACTTCGGAGGCTGAGGTGGGAGGATTGCTTGAGCCTGGGAGGTCGAAGCTGCAGTGAGCCATGATTGCACAACTGCACTCCAGCCTCAGCAACAGAGTGAGACCCTGTCTCTAAATCAATCAGGCAAGCCAGAATGCAGTAGTGGCCTGAGAGGCATCCTGGAACCTGGTGGGGTCTGGCTAGGCTTAGATGTGTTCATGTGATTTTACTTGGCAAGGGAAGGAAGAGCTGCTCCACGTGCAGAGCAAGGTTTCAGAATGAGAAGTGCAGGCACTGCAGAGGGCGGGGGAAAGGGCAGCAGTGGACTGGGAAGCCCTCAGGTAGAGTTCAGCATTTCTTCCCTCAGTGGGGATGAGTTTCATGAACTCAGTGCATGTCCCTCCCTCTGTAAGATGAGAACAGCACATACTCTGGCTATGTCAGAAATTGTCTAGTATTTTTCAAAGTGAAGCCTCAACCCATTACTGAGTTGAGAAGCCAACTTAATGGTTGACCAGGCTGTGACCAGCATTTAAAAAAATAAAAATAAAAAACATCTTTAGTTTACTGCATGTAGAAATAGGTGGTTTTGCCTCTTGAATCTTCTGTTTCTGTGTGTTCATGTATGTGTATATTTTACTTTGTATTGTTGGTTTTTTAAGGTACAGAGTCTTGCTCTGTCATCCAGGCTGGAGTGTAATGGCAGAGTCATAGCTCACTGTCAGACTCCTCCAATCCCTGGGCTCAAGCAATCCTCTACCCTTAGACTCCCAAGTAGCTGGGACTACAGGCACATGCCACCATGCCCAACAAATTTTTTTATTTTTGTAGAGACAGCATCTTGCTATGTTACCCAGGCTGGCCTTGAACTCTTGGCCTCAAGCAGTCCTCTGGATGCTTCCACCTCGGCCTCCTAAAGTGCTGAGATGACAGGTGTGAGCCACTGCACCTGGCTTACTTACTTTGTCTATTGTCTGTTCCATTAGAATGTAAAGTCTTGGCAAGAATTTTTGTTTATTTCCTTCTCTTCCTTTCCTTTCTTCCTCTTTTACTTTGTTCACTACTGTATTCCACATAAAATATATTTGGCATATAGTAGGTGCTCAATATGTTAAAGGAAGGAATGAAAGAATTTATATGACTTGAGTTGCAATATAAAATGTATATTTTTTTTTACTGTGAGTTATGACTGAAAAAAAAAAAAAAAACCTTTGAAAGCACTTCTAAATAATGCAGATGTCAGTGCTTTGTATGACCCTGGAATAAAAACTGAAATGACTCAGTAATTTCAAAGGCATATTTTTTTTACTGCACAATCTATAAGCTGTTTCATTAAGTTGTCTCAGTTATTCGCTTCACTTCGGCAATAGAAGCTCAGCCTTTATATGTGTGTAAAACCTCTTGAGGCAAGGGATTCGGCAAATGTGGTTACATAGAGAACAGAAGATAACAGAGAATCAATTCATTAGTGCAGTTGAAGCCCCTACTGGAATCCCATCAGCGAGCACAAGTCCCATTTCAGCTGCATTAAATGCAACAAGTATTTGCTAAGTGCTTTTGTTTTTCTTTCTTTCTTTTTGTTTTTGAGACAGAGTTTCACTCTTGTTACCCAGAGTGGAGTGCAATGGCACGATCTCGGCTCACCGCAACCTCCGCCTCCTGGGTTCAAGCAATTCTCCTGCCTCAGCCTCCTGAGTAGCTGGGACTACAGGCATATGCCACCACACCCAGTATATTTTTGTATTTTTAGTAGAGACTGAGTTTTGTCATGTTGGCCAGGCTGGTCTCGAACTCCTGGCCTTAGGAGATCCACCTGCCTCAGCCTCCCAAAGTGCTGGGATTACAGGTGTGAACCACCACACCTGGCTGGTCACAGGCTTTTTAAAATGTGCAAATAATGAACATGGATGATGAGGAAGAGAAGAAGAACAGTCACTGTCCTTAAGAGTCTGACAATCTAGAGTAGATGAGACAAGCACACTAAAAACTAATCCTGGGAGCAACCTGGAGAGGAGAAAATGCGGACGGGAGCCCTAAAGGACCAATAAAAGCTACATCAGAGCAAGCATTGCAACTTGGCTTTCAAGATGAGAAGGTTTCAGTCAGGAGAGATTGAGCAACATTCAAAGCAAAGGAAACACCTGCACAGAGGCAGGAGGAAAGCAGGTTTGGGGCAATTTTACCAAAAGCCCGATTTGGCTGGAGCACAGAGAGACTTGTATAGGCAGATAAGTGGAAACAAGGCTAACCAGAGGCTAGATTCATTCCAGAGCATCTGGAATCCCAGGGTGCGCCAGATCTCTTTAGCTCGGTACACAGCTGGGAGATATTGAACATTTTTGGGCATAGGCAGGTACAGAGATGAACCCATCCGGCCCTCATCAGCTCTTGGGAAAGGGGAATGTGTGAGGTACTAAAAGAATATTACTCTTCATGTCTGCAAATTCAGAGACAGGTGTGTTCTGCTTACATCTGCCTTTCAACTCCAGCCCCATCTGTCTTTGCTATCTCTTGCATTTAGTTGTTGGGTCCTTCCCCATATTTCTCTCTGCCCACCTCCCTCCCCTATCTACCTTTTTTTCCTCCAGTTTTCTTCTATATTTCTACTTCCAAAAGCCTTTTAAGAAGGAAAAAGCGGCTGGGTGTCGTGGCTTATGCCTATAATCCCAGCACTTTGGGAGGCCAAAGTGGGCAGATAACGAGATCAGGAAATCAAGACCATCCTAGTTAACACAGTGAAACCTCGTCTCTACTAAAAATACAAAAAGTTAGCTGAGCTTGGTGGCATGTGCCTGTAATCCCAGCTACTCGGGAGGCTGAGGCAGGAGAATTGCTTGAACCCAGGAGGCAGAGATTGCAGTGAGCTGAGATGGTGCCATTGCACTCCAGCCTAGGCGACAGAGCAAGACTCAGTCTCAAAAAAAGAAAATGTATATTTTCAATGATGCCTTCTTTGACCACCCTAGTTAAAATTTCATCTCCTTTTCCCAGTACGCTCTTGCTTAATTTTTCTCTGTGGCACTTAGACCCTTTAAAATATAATGTAATTTATTTTATCCTCCTTCTCCATCTAGAATAAAAGTGCCATGCATGCTGACATTTTTGTGTTTTCTGATACATTTCTCTATTGCTTAGAACAGTGCCTGGCACATCATAGCAAGTGTTCAAAATTTTTTTTTTCTTTGAGACAGAGTTTTGCTTTTGTTGCCCAGGCTGGAGTGCAATGGTGTAATCTCGGCTGACTGCAACCTCCGCCTCCTACGTTCAAGCGATTCTCCTGCCTCAGCCTCCCAAGTACCTGGGATTACAGGCATGTGCCACCATGCCCGGCTAATTTTTTTGGTATTTTTAGTAGACGGGGTTTCTCCATGTTGGTCAGGCTGGTCTAGAACTCTTAACCTCAGGTGATCTGCCTACCTTGGCCTCCCAAAGTGCTGAGATTAGAGGCATGAGCCACTTTGCCCAGCCTGGTGTTCAAATATTTTAATGAATAAATGAAATCAGTCAGGTGTCCAAAGGGAAAACTGGCATCCTGGTCCACTGTCGGAGAGTAGACCCTCTCCCCGCATGCACATAGACAAAAACTATGCCTGTAATTGTAGGGGTCTTTGGACTCCTTGAAGCCAGCCGTGGGTCTGGGATTAAAATCTTTTGATCAAAAGGAGGTTAGCGGCTACCTTGGTAGATACTTCTCCAATGCAGTGTTTTGGAAATCTCAATGCCACAGACTTTACTGAGTCTCTTGGAGGATTTGGAAGCTTGCAATACTGTAGCAAATACAGTGAGGCTGGCAGCATAGTTCTGTTAAGAAAACATGGGTTGTGCCAGCCCCTTGGTCTTCATTGCTGAGCCTATTAATTCAAGTTCTCTGAGGGAAACATTGACCATTGAAAACACAGGCTCTGGGCAGCCATTGGCTGAAACACAGACCTCTATGCTGGGAGGTCCTGACATTTACTAGAAAAATGAGTTCTTTTCCTAATTTAACCACTCCATGAGTCAGTTCTCACAGATGTAAAGCTACTCTATCTGAATACATGTGGCTCCTTGAGAATGGCAGATGCTTTACAGGTGATAACCCTGGTTGGTTTGTAGGTTTGTTCAACATTGCTGTCCTCCTCTGAGGCAGCAGAATCCAAGAGCCTAGTCTGCCTCTCAGGAGGAGCTCTCATAGATCGTGTGCCAGATGAGAACTGAAGAAGAAGCATGAGTTTTACGAGGTGTGTTTTACAGGGTGTGTCAGGAGAGGAGCAGGTGGGAGGGAAGGGCGGGAGAGAGGAAGGGCATGGTGTAAATGCAAGATCCAGCAGTCCACGTGGCCAGTGTGGAGCTTTAGCAGAAAGGCTTTGGTGAGCCAGGAAGGGGGAAATGATAGAATAAGACTTGTGTGTAGTGAGGCTTTTCTAGGAAGCAGTTGGGGAGGGACCGGTAGAGGCAAGAGGCAAGAAGGCCACTCAGGTGGCTTCTGAATAATCACTGGACAAAATGGTGTGGGCTGACCAAGTTGGTGACAGTGAGGAGAATGAGAAGGAAGAAGATTCAAGGGCAGGTAGAATGATTAGATAATGGAAATTGATTATGGAGGAAGGAGGAGAGGAAAGAGGGAGGTGCTAGAATGAACTGTCAGGTTTCTGGTTTGGGCAACAAGGTGGGTACAGGTGCCATTTCCTTAGGAAGGAAAGACAGGGTGGGACCTGGAGTTGAGGAGCCTATTTCAACTGCGGTTCCACTGGAGAAGTAAGCCCAAAAGCCCCAAGGCTTCACAGTCTGGAATGAATGTCTCTCCCCTGCATCTGAAATGGTACTAGTTATGTACCTCAGTTCTCCTTGAAGAACTGAGAATCTAGGCCTTGAGTCTTTTTCTGCATTCTGTGTTTCAGCCCAGTTGAGAAAGGTTTAGAAAATCTAGGTCTATAATGAAACAGAATAGAGAACTCAGAAATAAGACTACACACCTACAACCATCTGATCTTTGACAAACTTGACAAAAACAAGCCAAGGGGAAAGGACTCTATTTAATAAATGGTGATGGGAGTGCTGGCTCGCCATATGCAAAACATTGAAACTGGACCCCTTCCTTACACCACAGACAAAAATTAACTCAAGATGGATTAAAGACTTAAATGTAAAACCCAAAACTATAAAAACCCTAGAAGAAAATCCAGACAATATCATTCGAGACATAGGCACGGGCAAAGATTTCATGACAAAAATGTCAAAAACAACTGCAACAAAAGCAAAAATTGGCAAATGCGATCTGATTAAACTAAAGAGATTCTGTACAGCAAAATAAAGTATCATCGGAATGAACAACCTACAGAATGGGAGAAAATTTTTTGCAATCTATCCATCTGACAAAAGTCTAATATCCACAGTCTACAAGGAACTTAAACAAGTTTACAAGAAAAAAATCAACCCCATTAAAAAGTGGGCAAAGGACATGAACAGACACTTCTTAAAAGAAGACATATATGCGGCCAATAAACATATGAAAAAAAGCTCAACATCACTGATCATTAGAGAAATGCAAATTAAAACCGCAATGAGACGCCATCTCAGCCAGTCAGGATGGCTATTAGTAAAAAATCAAACAACAGAGGCTGGCGAGGTTGTGAAGAAAAAGGAACACGTTTACACTGTTGGTGGGAGTGTAAATTAGTCCAGCCATTGTGGAAGCCAGTGTGGTGATTCCTCAAAGACCTTGAGGCAGAAATACCATTTGGCCCAGCAATCTCATTACTGGTTATATACCCAAAGGAATATAAATCATTCTGTTATAAAGATACATGCACTCGTATGTCCACTTCAGCACTATTCACAATAGCCAAGACATGGAATAATCCTAAAGGCCCATCAATGATAGACTGGATAAAGAAAATGTGGTACCTATACACCATGGAATACTATGTAGCCATAAAAAGAACAAGATCATGTCTTTTGCAGGGACGTGGATGGAGTTGGAAGCCATTATCCTCAGCAAACTGACACAGGAACAGAAAACCAAACATGGCATGTTCTCACTTATAAGTGGGAGCTGAATGATGACAACACATGGACACACGGTGGAGAGCAACACATTCTGGGGCCTGTCAGCAGTGGGGCGGAGGGAGAGAGAGCATCAGGAAGAACAGCTAATGGATGCTGGGCTTACTATCCAGGTGATGGGGTGATCTGTGCAGCAAACCACCATGGCACACATCTACCTATGCAACAAACCTGCACATCTTGCACCTGTACCCCTGAACTTAAAAGTTGAAGGAAAAAAAAAAAAAGAAATCTAGGTCTA